TATTGTTGTTTTATAAGTGAGCAAATGAAGGCACAGAATGGTAAAATAGTTTGTTGCATCAGCTTGCAGGTATAATAGGCAACCTTTCTTCTCTACGTTAATTCTGTTTCATAGGTCAGTATAATGGATTTAGTGTCACTGTCTTTAAAGAGTTTTTGATGGGTTGTTGTTTCTGTTTTCTTTTTGAGATGTGAAGTGTCCAGATTAATTCTAATCTGTAACTTTTGGGGAAAGTGTATTGATATACATGTTAGAGTGTGTGTGTGTGTGTGTGTGTGTGTGTGTGTGTGTTATGTGTATGTAGTAGATGATAACCTTTAGCTTTGGTTTTTCAATAAGAATTTTAAAATGTATTATAATTGGAAAATTTTTCTTCCAGTTTTTATTCAGTTGTCCTTTATTCCTTTGGAAATAGTGGACCTGACCCATTTCTTTTTTGATAATTCATTTCATAGAGCAATGTGTTAGAATATTTTTGTTCTTCTAATCAAGTGCATTGTAAGAACTGGCAGGCATCCATAACTTCTTTTCTATCTCTTGGTTAGGATATTAGCTTTATTACTGTATGTACAGGTCCTGGGATTGTTGGGCATAATCTGAGGAGCATAGCTACTTCATCTGTGTAATAAATTGCCTTTTTGCTACAAACATTTTAATCTTGATTTTGTTAGCCATTTAACTTTCTAACAGTGGTCCTTAAATTATATTCTAAAAGAAGAATACCATATATATTAGAAATATTTGTTGAATAAAATTAGGATTATTGTAAAATTCAACATGACCTTATTGCTACCTCAGGATAATTTCTTGGTAAAAAGTTAATCAAAGCTGAGTACGGTGGCTCATGCCTATCATCCCAGCACTTTGGGAGGCTGAGACAGGAGGATCGCTTGAGCCCAGGAGTCCAAGACCAGATTGGACAACATAGTGAGACCCTGGCTCAAAAAAAGAAAAGAAAAGACGGGTTGATCCTGGTACCTTCCCTTTTTTCTTTTCTTTTCTTTTCTTTTTTTTTTTTTTTTTTTTGAGACAGTGTCTCACCCTGTTGCCCAGGCTGGAGTGCAGTAGCACAATCTCGGCTCACTGCAACCTTTGCTTCCTAGGTTCAAATGATTCTTGTGCCTTAGCTTCCCATGTAGCTGAGATTACAGATGTATGCCACCACACCTGCTAAGTTTTGTATTTTTAGTAGAGATGGGGTTTCACCATGTTGGCCAGGCTGGTCAACATGTGATCTGCCTGCCTCGGCCTCCCAAAGTGCTGGGATTACAGGTGTGAGCCACCAACCCAACCGTCTTCACTTTTTGATTTAACATGCTATATGAGTCTTCGTAAATTGACATTTAGTCTGAAAATAAATTTTGGCTAAGTTCTGGCTGAGAGATAAAACATGTTGTGGATTAACTCTTAATAATTATACTTTAAAGTATGATTTCTGAAAGTAGAAGTGAACATTAAAAACCATTTGTAATATATAATGTTAGATTATGTATAATGTTCTGAATATTAAAAGTATAATGCAATTCTTTTTCTATACTTGATAAGAAAGACTATAATTTTGGGGGAAATAGAATGGAAAGGGGAGAGAGAGGATGGGGAAAATTGAGGGAGGGATTATATTAATTCCTTAGGGCTGCTGTAACAATTTACCACAAACTGGGTGGGTTACAGTAGATATTTATTGCTTCACAGTTCTAGAAGTTAGAAGTCTTGAAATCAAGGTATCAGCAGGGACTTGCTCTCTCAAAAGACTCTCGAGGGGCTCTTCCTTTGCCTCTTCAGCTTCTGGTGGCTGTTCACCATCCTTGGCTTGTCACTTCAGTCTCTGCCTCTGTTGTCGTCACATGGTGATCTCTCTGTGTGTCTCTCTGACCATATTTTCCTCCTCTTAAAAGGACTCCAATCATATTGAATTTAGGTTTAGGGCCTACCCTAATTCAACATGACCTCACCTTGATTCACAGATTCTGGGTGGACATGAATTTTTGGAGTATACTGTTCAACCCATTACAGAGGGATCCAAATTCAATTCATATTTTCATATTTAAACCAGTCATACTTACTAGATGTATCTGATTTATATAAAGCAAACAGGTAAGATACATTTTATGTAAAAAAATTATTTTTATTTGCAATTATATTGACGTATCTGCTTTCCCACTGCGTGGGCCTAGGTATCTTGTTTTTTCCATTTATGTAGCACAGATTGCATTAAAGGACTATTTGGTTGTGAAACATCTATTAGTACAGATGGAGAGCCAGAAAACTTTCCACATTACCTCTTAATAGCCCACTATTTATAGAAACAAGCTAGACTTTTCTTGAGTTTTAACTGCTGTTCACCTCAGAATAATACTTGAAATGTTCTTATTTATTTTATATCCACAACATCTAACCGTGCCTGATGCTGATTTATTGAATGAAGAATGAGTTAATGAAATATGTGTGTGTGTGCGTGCATGTGTGTATTTGTATGTCTGTGTGTCTCCATTGGAGGGTTGTCAACGGGCATATGGGGAGTTTTCATTTGGTTAGTATATTCTCTTTCCTTTTTAAAAACACAACTATGGCATCTCTCTTCTATTCTAAACTTTGCTTTTATTACTTAAAGTATATCATTCCATATTAGTACATAAGTGCTATGTTTACATAATATTTCATTGCATACATATATCATAATTTATTTAGCTTGTGTCCCTTAAAATATTTTTAATTGTGGTAAAATACACTAACATAAAATTCACCATCTTAATTTTTTAAGTGTACCGTTCAGTTTTGTTAAGTATATTCACATTGTTGTGAAACCAATATCTAAAACTTTTCCATCTTGTAAAACTGAAACACTGTACTCATTAAACAACAATTACCCCCTCCCCCAGCAACCACCATTCTACTGTTTCTGTGAATTTGAGCTAGTCTCCCTTTCTAGTTGTTTTTCTCTTTGCTTTTAAAATCAAAGTTGTGATAAGTAGCCTTGTGTACATGTCATTTTGCACATAAATGAGTATATCTGTAGGGTAAATTTCTAGAAGTAGAATTGCTAGGTAAAAAAGTTTGTGCAAAATTAAATTTATTAATTTTGAAGTATAGTGCAAAATTGACTTGTAAACAGGTCTCCCCATCCCTATTTCATCCAGAGCTTTTACATAGAGGTGGCTTGACTTCTTTTCTTGTAGCAGTGAGTGAGATAAGGATAGGGTAAAAGAGAATACTAACGTATAATCAGCCTTTGGTAATTCATATCAAAAAATGCTAGACTCTTCTTTGTGGAATCCTGATGTTTGAAAACTGATGCTTGAAGTAAATTTACTATAAAATGAGGTGGCCGAGTGCAGTGGCTCATGCCTGTAATCTCAATACCTTGAGAGGCTGAGGCTGGTGGATTGCTTGAGCCCAGGAGTTTGAGACCAGCTTGGGCAACATGGCAAAACAAAAAACAAAAATTACGGCTGGGTGCCATGGGCACACCTGTAATCCCAGCACTTTGGGAAGCCAAAGAAGGCAGATCACCTGAGATCAAGAGTTTGAGACTAGCCTGGGCAACATGGTGAAACCCCGTCTGTACTAAAAATACAAAATTAGTCGGGGGTAGTGGTGCATACATGTGATTCCAGTTACTGGGGAGGCTAAGGCAGGAAAACCACTTGAACCTGGGACATGGAGGTTGTGGTGAGCTGAGATTGTGCCATTGCACTCCAGCCTGGGCAACCAGAGCAAAGTTTTGTCTCAAAAAAAAAAAAAAAAGAAAATTAGCTGGGTATGGTGACACATACCTGTAGTCCTGGCTGCTTGGGAGGCTAAGGTGGGAGGATCACAGAGCCCAGGGAGCTTGAAGCTGCAGTGATTCATGATTGCACCATTGCACTCCAGCCAAGGTAATACAGCAAGATCCTGTCTGAAAAAAAAATAAAAAATAAATAAATGAAATTTGGCATAACTACATGGAAATAGCACTGTTTCCCTTAGAGTATACATAGAGATTTTGGTGCAGTGACTTTTCATCTGATAACTTTAAATAAATTGGCATTTTTATTAGTTTTCTTATTTTGAAATAAAAATATGTATTATTATGTCTGAATATTTTCTTATTAAAGTAGAATTTGGAGGGTTGGGAACCACCTCTCATCAATGATTAGTATTAACAGTTTGAAATTTATTTTTCTAGACTTTTTTCAGTGCATTGAACGACACGTAAATTGTATTTCTGCTTTAAAAAGATGGGATCATGCTATATTTACTGTTTTGTGATTTGTTTTGTTCATAATATGTGTTTTTTGAGTTAGTGAATAGAGATTTCCTCTATTCTTTTAGTGGATTTATACTCTCCTATTACATCATAATTTTCTAGTTCATTCCCTTGTTGGTGAACATTTAAGTTGCGATAAACATTCTTTACACATATATCTTTGCTTATTTGAACAAAAGTTTCCAGAGGCTAAATTCTAGGAAATAGAACTTCTAGATAAAAGGTAGGACCATGGCTGGGCATGGTGGCTCATGCCTGTAATCCTAGCACTTTGGGAGGCTGAGGCAGTTGGATCACTTGAGGTCAGGAATTCAAGACCAGTCTGGCCAACACAGTGAAACTCCATCTCTACTAAAAATACAAAAATTAGCTGGGCATGGTGATGCACACCTGTAATCCCAGCTACTTGGAAGGCTGAGGCAGGAGAATTGCTTGAACCCGGGAGGTGGAGGTTACAGTGAGCCGAGATTGCACCACTACACTCCAGCCTGGGTGACAGAGTTAGACTCTGTCTCAAAAAAAAAGTATGACTATTTTATATTTTAATGTCTATTTGGGGGCTCTATAAAAGTTGTATCAACATTCTAAGTGTATAGGAAATACACTTAGTTCTAAACTTTCAGACATTTTAGCTAGGTGATGTATCATCATTAATATGTATCATCATTAATGTACATCAGTTTTTTCTAAGATAAGTTTTGTGATAATATAAAAATCTTTAAAATGACAGCTTTGAAACTTTTTATTCTTACAGTGATGGAATGGGGAGAAGATATTAAAGCAGTTTCAAAAGATGAAGCAGTGATGTTGGTGAATCATCAGGCAACAGGAGATGTGTGCACACTGATGATGTGCCTCCAGGACAAAGGACTGGTAAGCTACCCTCAAGGCAGAAGGTAGAAATCCAGAAAGGAAGATAAAAAGTAATTAATTCAGCCGTGGTGCCTCACACCTGTAATCCCAGCACTTTGGGAGGCTGAGGCAGACAGATCACAAGGTCAAGAGATAGAGACCATCCTGGCCAACATGTTGAAACTCTGTCTCTTCTTAAAAATACAAAAAATAGTTGGGCATGGTGGCGTGCACCTGTAGTCCCAGCTACTTGGGAGGCTGAGGCAGGAGAATCACTTGAACCTGGGTAGGCAGAGGTTGCAATGAGCCAAGACTGGGCCACTGCATTCCAGCCTGGCTGCAGAGCAAGACTCTGTCTCAAAAAAAAAAAGGAATCTGTTCAAATATCTTACTATTCTTTGGAATATATACATAGACTTTAATATGTATACTTTAACTAAAAATTTAGAAAATATTAAAAGGAAAAATATATCATTCTAAGTCACCTGGAAGGGGGATTTAGAGACTTTAAAAAAAATAACTGGGACAATGTGAATTATGTTTCAATAAGACTTTTTAAAAATAGTAACTGGGATGAAAGCAGGTTAATATAGTTCAAGTTGAGGGCTATCTGGAGGGGAAGAAGTGAATTGCCAATTTGAAAACTACAAACACAAAAAGCAGCTTTGGCCTACAAAGTGGTGCCACTTGTCGTCTCAGCTACTTGGGAGGCTGAGGCAGGAGGATTGCCTGAGCCCAGGAGTTTGGGCTGTAGTTCTCTATGGTGATAGGGTGTCTGCACTAAGTTGAGCATAAATATGGTGACCTCCTGGGAACAGGGAACAACTAGCTTGCCCAAGGAGGGTGAACCAGCTCAGGCTGGAAATGAAGCAGGCCAAAACTCCTGTGCTGATCAGTAGTGGGATCATGCCTGTGATCCACTGCACTCCAGCCTGGGCAACACAGCAAGACCCCATCTCTAAAGCAAAAGGTGGGGAGAATGCTTAAGATGGAATAAATATTTATAAACCGAGTGGATTTAAAAAATAAATTCAGCTTTTAGCCTTAAGAGAATTGTCACCTTAGAAGTTAAAGAGGTTATGTTCATAGAAAAGTACATAAATAGAAAGTATAGAAATTAATGGAGTCGCCGGGCGCGGTGGCTCAAGCCTGTAATCCCAGCACTTTGGGAGGCCGAGGCGGGTGGATCACAAGGTCGAGAGATCGAGACCAACCTGGTCAACATGGTGAAACCCCGTCTCTACTAAAAATACAAAAGATTAGCTGGGCATGGTGGCGTGTGCCTATATTCCCAGCTACTCAGGAGGCTGAGGCAGGAGAATTGCCTGAACCCAGGAGGCAGAGGTTGCGGTGAGCCAAGATCGGGCCATTGCACTCCAGCCTGGGTAACAAGAGTGAAACTCCGTCTCAAAAAAAAAAAAAAAAGAAATTAATGGAGTTAATGTGTGACCTAATAGTAAATAATCAAATCGATGGAAGTTCTTTAAGGGCTTAATAGTTATGATCAGTGACTATAAGACGTGTAAACACCGTCCTGTAAGATACCATTCGTCTCATCAAGGTGCCAATACCTTAGTGGCAGGTGGAAAAGGGTATCACAATGTTTTTGTTTGTTTGTTTGTTTGTTTGTTTTGATGCAGTCTTGCGCTGTTGCCCAGGCCAGAGTGCAGTAGTGCAATCTTGGCTTGCTGCAACCTCTATGTCCCCGGTTCAAGCAATTCTCATGACTAAGACTCCCAAGCAGCTAGGACTAGGGGCATAGGTACCATGCCTGGATAATTTTTGTATTTTTAGTAGAGATGGGATTTTGCCATGTTGGCCAGGCTGCTTTATCTCAAACTCCTGACCTCAGGTGATCTGCCCCCCTCAGCCTCTCATAGTGCAGGGATTACAGGCATGAGCCATAAACAATACTTAGTTGCAAAGTGAGATGGCTTCAGTGAAGGTTAAGTTCACTGTATACTGATGGACGCAGAAAACTTTATGAAGGAGAGAGAACATAAACTTGTCCTTTAAGGACGAGTAGAATTTAGTTAGGTAGAGTGGTAAAGCAAGGACTTCTTTGTTAATGAAACAATCTTGACAAAAACATTTAAGTGAGAACAAGCTCTGGTGTGTTTAGGTTCCAGAGATTTTGATTGACTAGGTTAGGGTAGGGTCAGAAAATAAGAGGAGATTGAAGAAAAATATGTTTGATTATTGTAGTATCTGTTTTTCTTATTTATCTGAAAAGCAGTGGCATAATCTCGTTGAAATGTGGAATAAATTAAGTCCTTTCTTATATTATGGATCTTGAATTGTTAAAAAAGTATCACTGTGTAGTTATATTTGCACTTATTATGAGATTTATTGCCTCTCATCTAAGTTCATAATGTTAAAATTGTGCACAACTAGTTGATTTGGCTTTGTATAAAAGAGAATCTTCAATTAGTTGACATTGTTATTCTTACAGATGGGATCATTACATTTATAGTGATTATCCTTAGGGCCTACAATGTCCTTAAGCATTTTTTGAATCTAAAAGGATGATTAAAATGGTCAATATAAATAGGTCTAACTATTCTAACACCAGTTTGGCATGGATGATAACTGTATTAACCAGAGTATTAGGTAATTTGAAATTCCCCAGTCATGTGGACAAAAGAAAGTTTGGCTGGTTTGTTCGCCTTTATAAAAATATTTGAGTTAGTTTTCTAGGTTCATTTTTCTGTCCCAAGTAATTTTCCATTTTCAGATTAGTTAATACTGAGTATTCTAAATAATGCTCTGATAATATTGAATAATTTGAAATATAGAAGGATTTTTAATTTTTTTCATAAAGGAGTAACTGAGAAATATAGGAGCGGAAGCATTATAATTTTTCCCTGCTGCCTAATAATTACAGAGCAATATTAATTTGTATTTACTAGTAGGAGTATTTACTTATTTTATATGTTATGGGTACATTCAAAGAAGGAAGGCTGTTGTGGGCCAGTTAAAAAATATTACTTGGATAGTAATGTAATTGTAACACAGCTTTTGAATTCAAGAGACTTCTTGAAGCCCCCATCAGTTTCTCAGTGGGAGTACTGTTGGCATTTTATTAGGACAACAAACACTGTTATTCAGAACTGTGCCTGGGCATTGCCAGATATTTTGTGTACCCAACTGCTACATACTAAATTCTAGTAGCACTCCTTGGTCATTGTGACAACCGAAATTATCCTGCAGTTTCCATACTCACCCAATGGAAAACCATTGGCCCTATTATAATTTCAAAAGGACAAAGAGAGTGCAGTCATTTATTAACCTTTCTAGACGATGTTTTGATATGTAGAAAATCTGTGCATCCAGATAAAGAATAATTGATATAGATTGATTTTGTCTCTTAGAAATAATGGAAAAGCTCTGAGTGACAGACCTATCAAACATTGACAGAGTTGATTTAGGCAGCTTACGTTTACTGATCCTTTTTTTGAAAAATATGAAATAAAGGATTAATTGTATTTTCTGAAAGTGTTAGTACCTTTTTAATAAGTGTCTGTGAATTGTCTTGGCCCATGATAAAGCTAAGCATTTTTATTTCTGTCAAAAGAACTTTATTAAATGTTTTATAAACATTTATTGACTTATAACATTTGCCCTAAAATAAGTTGGAACAGAGCTATTCATACAAATCCAGAAGATAGTGTGGCTGTCTTTACTGAATTTATGTGTTTTAAGTGACCCTTCTAACGGAAGAGATAAATCCACTATGAATGAAAGGTTAAATATAAAAGCTACTTATTTGGCATTTAAAACCCAGAAGTCAGTAAATTACAACTGCACTTCATAATGTGTCTAAAGCTAAAATGCTTTATAGGTTGAATCCACTGCTTTTTGTTTGCTTGGGGGACACTTTTCAACAAATTTTATTTAGTCCAAATCTCAGTTTATTTAAACAAAGTACTGTAATCATCATTGCAAAGCAAAACAACATGGGATGCTGGTGATTATCTTACTCTGTATTAGTTGCTTGAGGAATCAGTTCTTTCTTTACTAGGCACATATCTTCACTTTTTAAAAAAGTGATGTAATATAGTAAAGCTGATGGAGTAGGAGTTGTGTAGCTGGAAAACTAAGGCAGAAGCTGTAATATTATATTATCTGTGGGCTTTTACAATGCTTTTATAAAAGCAGCACATGGATATCAGTGTTTTAGTTTTTTCCATATGTGCAAGTTCACATAATTTGGTTCTTAGGGATGACGTTTACATCTATTGTTCCCATGGGAAACCGAAGTAGAACTCGATGCATTCTTGATTGAGTTTATAGCTTTCACTTTAGTTAAGGCTTATAACAAGAAATGCTATTTCCTCAGCAAGAAAAAACAATTCTCCTGCCTCAACCTACTGAGTAGCTGAGATTACAGACATGCACCACCATGCCCGGCTAATTTTTGCATTTTAGTAGAGATGGGGTTTCACATGTTGACCCGACTGGTCTGAAACTCCTGACCTCAAATGATCCACATGCCTTGGCCTCCCAAAGTGTTGGGATTACAGGTGTGAGCCACTGTGCCCGGCCTGTACTTTTAATTTTTAAATTTGCATGAAAGTCTTCTTCTCTTGATATAGGTATTAAATCTTATCAGCAGTGTATAATATTTTTGGGTTTAAGGACTGAGGCACTACAAATATTTTTATCCTGGCAAAGAGCATGTTTGCATAAACTAACAAATATTCTTCATAATAGAATATGTAAATCAGTCTATATTTTAGAATGATTTTTATTAATTAAATGATTTATTAATTAAAAATTAATCAATATATTAATTTTTAATGTTTTATTTCAGACACTAACTTTTTATATTTTAGCTATGAAGCTACACTCAGATTTTAAAAAACCACAAGTGAATGTTCATTACATGTAGAGTCTTGTTTGATAACCATTTTATTGTATTGTTTCAAAATAATTTTACAAGTTATGTAAGAATTACCAGAGACTTTGTTTAGGTAGAACACGTTTGAAACCGTTAAGTACAAATTTAAGAAGTTGATTCAGTTTCATTTTTTATACAGTGATTTATGTACCTGTGACTTAGGATTTGAAGACTTGGAATCAAGACCTGTAATTTTTCATGTAGACTCTATTAGTAACTATGCTTTATTTGTAGAAATAGAGTTAGATTTAATATATTTTGGTTAATTAAAAGTACGCTTGGATGATTATACTTAAAGCTTGGAGACTTGGCTAGACTATTATAGTGACGTTTCTTCTATCCAATATTATTTCTTGCTTTTAAATATTTTAGGTTGTCGCTCAAATGATGTGGTTGATGGATCATATTTTTAAGTACACAAACTTTGGAATTGTTTCTCTAGTTCATGGAGACTTCTTTATAAGACAGGTAAGTAATAAGCATTTTTTTCCCACAGTGATAGCCTGGTCAATTTGATTCTTTATTATAAAAAGAGGTATAACAAAATCAATTATAATAGGTAGGGCTAGTTCCAACTGATCTCAGGGAGCTCTTTTTGAGACAGAGTGTTGCTCCGTTGAGCAGGCTAGCGTGCAGTAGCACCATCTTGACTCACTGTAACCTCCACTTTCTGAGTTCAAGTGATTCTCATGCTGCAGCCTCTGGAGTAACTGGGACTATAGGTATGCCACTGTGCCCAGCTAATTTTTGTATTTTTAGTAGAGATGAGGTTTCACCATGTTGGCTAGGCTGGTCTCGAACTCCTGGCCATGGCCTCCCAAAGTACTCAGATTACAAGTATGAGCCACGGTGCCTGCTTCAGGGAGCTCTTTCTCTGAATCTTTGTTCCCTAACCACTTTTTTCAATCTAAATTTAAGCATGCATAAATATTAAAATGCTTAAAATGCAAATATTCCAATCTCTTCTCCCATTTAGAAGGTATAATTTAGTTGAGTAAGCGTTCCCAACTATTCAGTTTCTTAGCTATGTGAATTGGACAGATTATTTAAAACACTCAAGTTTCTTCATTTTCCAAATTTGAATAATATGTAGTATCCCCCTCAATGGTGGTTGTGGGGATTAAGTGAAGTAATATCTATAAACACTCAAAGTACTCAAAACAGCGTCAGCTACCTTCATCGTCATTTTTATCTTGATTACTACTGTTGTATCACTAGTATTTTTATTTACAAGGCACTGTTATGTAATATAGAAGATATCTAAATTACTAATAAGCAGATTATTAAATAAATTAACCAATAAATAATATAATAATAATAGGAGATGTTTTGGGAGTTCATAGTGGGAAAAGTAAGTATATCAGATTTATGTGAATCCAGAAAAACTTTAGAGAAGAAGATAATATTTGGCACAAGTTTTAAAGAATGGGTACGAATTTGATGGAGGAAAGTGAATTGGGAAGTCCCAAGCATAAGAAATAGTTTAATGTAGAAAGAAGAATCATAGTCTTTTATCAGCACTACATTATTTTCTTGATTTGTTACTAGTATTACATGCTTTATTTTCACCAAAATGGATAACTGAAATACAGTATGTAAGAGATTTTGTGTATGATAATACCACACTCATTTGGTGTTTACATATTTAACAACCTGGATTGTATGGTGCTTTGCACATAATGATTATTTCATAAATAACTGGTGAATCTAATTAAGCCTTTTCCAAGAACCACAAATTCAGAAATAAACTGGAAGTGAGCAGAAAAACTTATAAGTTTAATGAAAATAGGTGTCACAGAACACATACACTTGACTCCAGACGGTTTTATGTACTGGGCATCATATCATTTCTTTTTGGAAACACCCTTCATTCTTCTGAGCAGAGAAACAAATATAAGCATAGCCTGGAACCACAAGAAGTGGCAATGAGGATGGGACACAGGGTCAAGACAAAATAAACTGATTAGGACAACCTAACAAAGATCCTAGCCTAATATTTCAGAGAAGGCAGCAGAACCAACAATTAGAAAGCCTTAGCAGTCTCAGGGATCCAGTGGAAAAGCTAGTTGAGCACCTTACCTCATTTCCACCCTTAGGAAATGGTTGAATTTACAGTATAGTGTAACAGTTGACCCTAATGATGATCCTCAGGCATCAAGAAGAGAGGCTGGGCATGGTGGCTCATGCCTGTAATCTCAGCACATTGGGAGGCTGAGATGGGCACATCGCTTGAGGCCAGGAATTCAAGACCAGTCTGGCCAACATGGTGAAACCCCATCTCTACTAAAAATACAAAAATTAGCAGGGCATGGTGGCACACACCTGTATTCCCAGCTACTTGGGAAGCTGAGACAGGAGTATCACTTGAACCTGGGAGGTGGAGATTGCAGTGAGCCAAGATTGCGTCACTGCACTCCAGCCTGGGTGACACAGTGAGATTCCGTCTCAAAAAGAAAAAGAAAGACTAAATTATACTAAATTATCAGTGGACTTTTAGATAAAAGTCGAAAATTAGGTACTCCAAAATATTTTCTTGTGATTACTATGTGAAGTTTTGTTTACATAAAGATTACATTTCAAAGTATCTGGAAAATTTGCAAATTTATGTCTAAAGAGCAACGTTTTTTTCCCCTGATAAATTAGTAATAAAAATCTATAACATGAGGGGAAGAAAGGGAAAAAGTATTAATGTTTAAAAGAAAAATTCTCTTAAGACTTTGCTACTAGACCATTTTGACAAGCCTTTTCCAAGAATAGTAAAAATATTTTACATATCATCTTGAGAACTTAATAACTTTTAATCATAATTAATTCACCTCAGTAAACTAAGAAAATGTCTTACTTGTTTTCCGTTTGGCATACATTTGAAATGTAAAGACTGAAAGCATACTAATTATTTTGAAGAGCTTCTGTAGTTTTATTGGCTGGAAGATTATTGGCAAACTGATCACACTGAAAGACAAAGAAATCTTTGTGATATTTAGTTGTAAGCTTTGGGCCTTCCTGCAAGTTTTTCTGGATTCTTCTTTTTATATTTCAGATTATTTTATTTTCTCTATTTCCTTCTCAACTAAGATACAGTCCATTAGAATGTCTTTTTAGCCTTACTTTCACATTTTTCCCCAAATGTAACTACTTATCATCAATACGATATAATTGAATCTCATCAAATTCCCTTGTGTGGAATACTGCCAGTCTTCTGACTTAGGTCCTATAGTCTTTTGGTCACAAGAGCCAGCCAGCAGATTTCTTTTTTCTTTTTTTCTTTTTTTTTTTTGAGACAGGGTCTCACTCTGTCACCCAGGCTGGAGTGCAGTGGTGCCATCAGGGCTCACTGCAGCCTCGAACTTGTGGGCAAAGGTGATCCTCCCACCTCAGCCTCCTGAGTAACTGGAACCACTGACATGTGCCACTGTACCTGGCTAATTTTTGTATTTTTTCTATAGATGGGGTTTCACCATTTGCCCAGGCTGGTCAGATTTTTTAAACATGAATAAGATTATAACACTTCCTTGTGCAAAACTATCCAAAGATGTCTGTTCCAAAATGACTTACCATGCATAAGGCTCTTCTCATTTTGTCTCCACCTCGCTCTACAGTTTTATCTCTTACCACTGACTTTCTTGTTTATCACACTTCAGCCACTCTAGCCTTGGTGCTGTTCTTTGAACATGCCAAACTCTTTCCCACCAAATGACCTTTGTCCTTTTCATTCTTGTCACCTGAAATATTCTGCCTTGCATCTTCACATGACTTATTCCCTCACATTATCAACTCTGCTCAAATGTCACCTCATAGGAGCTTTCTCTGACTCTCTTGACCTTTTCTGTCCGTTTACTCTTTTCTTCCTAACACATATTACTAGTTGAATTTGCATCCCACATTTACCAGCTTCCCAAACTAGAGTGTAAGCTCCATGAAGTTCTCTTACTTCCTCCTCTATGTCTGGTGCCTAGGACAGTGCATGGCACATAACAGGCACTCAGTAAGCAGTCAATGAATTGATGAATGACTGAACTTTCAAGGGCAATCAGAACAATTTGCTTTTCCTTTGGAAATAATGGTTTATTTATATAAGTCCTAATACCTTATTTTTACCACTGTGGTCAAAAAGGGAAGTAAGGGGAGTGAGAGTCACTATTCTATTGTATAATTGGATTTTAATTTAGAAGCTGTAATTTCTATTAATTTTATGGCATTTTAATTTTGGATGTACCTGTACTTATTATATGTGTGTGTACTTTCTAGGGAAGATCTTACCGTGACCAACAGCTGCTGCTTCTCAGGAAGCACTTAGAAAATAATTACAGGAGCAGAGATCGAAAATGGATTGTTTTGTTTCCAGAAGGGGGCTTCCTCAGGAAGAGGCGAGAAACAAGTCAGGCATTTGCCAAGAAAAATAACTTGCCATTTCTTACACATGTTACTCTGCCAAGGTCTGGGGCAACAAAAATTATTTTGAATGCACTTGTAGCACAACAGGAAAATGGAAGTCCAGCAGGAGGAGATGCTAAAGAAATAGGTATGATGGTTTTTAGCATTTTTTTTTTTACCTTGTTGGAATTAAAGGATTTTCTGGAGTTACAGAAGATCATTGTTTTTTTGTATTTGTAATTTTTGTTAAATAAAAATAATACTCAAGGGGAAGATGAAACTGTGATTTAAAAGTTTCTGTTTACAAAAGTAGTCCATGCTTATAATAATCTTCTCAAATAATACAGAAATGCATAAAGTCAAAGATGTCTTTCTCCTGTCCTGCTTGTATGGAGCCATTTCCATGGCTGCAGTAAACATTCTTATAAATATCTTTACATATTGGTGAAACTCTTTCTGTAGTACAGATTCCTAGAAGTGGAATTGCTAGGTTGAAAGATGTAACTATAGAAATGACATGTTTGAAAAACTAATCTTTTCATTTATCAAATAATACGTATTTTCATTTATTAAATTGAGAAAGCTTTTTGGTTTTCTGTTCTTTTGTTTGTTTGTTTCTGGGATTTCTTGGGAAGCAGTCTTGCTATATTATCCAGGCTGGAGTGTAGTGGTACAATCATAGCTCCCTGTAGCCTTGAATTCCTGGGCTCAAGTGATCTTCCCACCTCAACCTCCTGAGTAGTTGGGGTTATAGGCACATGCCACCATGCCTGGCTAATTTTTTAGTTTTTTTGTAGAGATGGGATCTCACTATGTTGACGGGACTAGTGTCAAACTCCTAACCTGAAGTGATACTCCTGCCTCGGCCTCCCACAGTGCTGGGAGTACAGGTGTAAGCCACCATGTCCCACCTTGTTTGTTTTAAATACAGAGAACTAATTTAATGCAATTTGACAGTATTAAGAGCATTAAGTGTTAATAAATGACTCTGTTATTACACTACAAATAATATTTATCAAAAGGAAATAATCTGAAATGCAGGCAAAGAAGTTTATTACAGATAATAGCCAAAAAACGAATTAGCCAGAAGCAATAGCCAAAAAACTGGAATTAGCCAGAAGCAATAATGGATTAGTAATTATCAAATATCCATGCAATGGAATACAACACAGCTATTACAAATGACGTTTATGGAGTATATTTGTATTGGCTTGGAAAAATGTTTATGTTCTAATGTTAATAGGGTGAGGAAACATACAACTCTGGTGAAAACAATTTGAATTCAAATATGTAAACAACAAGGCAGTAGGAAATGCGTGAAAGGAAAGACACCAAAATGTTAGCAGTGATTGCTTTTCTGAGTTACAACATTATGGATTATTTTGCTCTATTTATTAATGCTTTTCTGAATTTTCTGTTTTTAAAAATAATGTGTATGTATTACCTTCTTACCAGGAAAAGCAAATCATAGTCAAAGATGCAACTACCTTGGAGATAGCCTGGTAAATTGCAAGTTTTGCAGAAGATGTTTATGTCCATAGTATGAAGACTGTTTTGAACAAGTTTAAGATACTACCGTGAAAGTTTGGTTATAAACTAAAAAGCTGAAAGGCATTCATTAGGCCTGTTTCCTTTGTAGTGTTTTGCTGTTTCTTTTCATATTCTTTAGATGAGAATTGAAATGATTGCCCTTCAGAAATAATGTGTTTTTAAAAGGCAATGAGGACCAGACGTAGAAATAATGCCTGTGAGATTTAACTAAGTTTTCCTTTTATTTGTTTTTCCCAAGCAGCTGCTTGGCAGTCAGCTCTTTTAATCTTTCATCATCTATTAAAAAGACAAATTGAAAGAGTCTTTTAATAGAAAAGGGAAGTTCAGAATAGCCTCACTACTGTAGAGACACTGGCAATGGCAGCCAAGCCAAAGCTTGAAGGCAAATGCCTTCCAAACAGGATTAGTTGCACTAATAAAGACTTCTGTTTTAAAATAGTTTCACCCAGTCAATACCCTGTGGTGTTCTAGATCTCAAAGGTGGGGCAATTGTTATACTGATTGCATAATAATGAAAAAAAATGGTTTGTTCTTTTAGAGAGAACTAGTTTATGTTTATAACTAAAGCAATCTATTTTTTAATCCTGTCTTAAAATTTTTCATTCTTCCTGTTTAGAAAAAAATCATAAGCATATCTGAAAACCAGTTTTACCTATATTTTATTATTTCCTATATTTTGGTACTTTGCATTTTATTTTCTTTCCTGTCCGTATTTACTAGCATTTTATTCCATGTATACACAAACTGTGCCTTTGTGTTTGTTTTAATGTGTGATCCATGCATACATACCAAAATTAAGTTCTGTCTGATTAACTTTAAAAGGATTAGTATTTTTGTTATCACATGATTTAACAGATACTAAACTGAATTTTGGTGTTTCTTTCTCATCATTTTATTATAAAAATTTTCAAACATACATAAGAGTTGAAAGAATTTTATAACGATTATCTGTGAGCTAACTAGATTCTATACTTAACATTTTAATATATTTGTTTGAAATATATATATATTTACTTATATATATAAATTTTAAATATGTATATTTACTTTTATATATATATATATATTTCAAACAAATATATTAAAAATATCTTCATCCTTCTGTCCATCCATTAATCCATCTTGGTTGTTTCATTTTTTAATGCATCTCAAAATAAGCTTCAACAGTATACTTTACTCCTAAACATTTCAGCAGGTGTATCATTGGTAGCTTGTTAAAATGTGTTGTTTTACATAAACCCTATTCATGTAGCAATATGTTATTTAAAAATTAATTTTTTTACTTGTTTTACAAGTATATTTTTCTTCTGCACAATGTTGTTCTAAAATCTTTACAGAATTTAAGGCCAGGTTTTAAATTATTTGACATACAAAAGTAGTATGTCATTGATTCCTTATGCACATTTGGACTTAACACTTAAAAATGAGTTTTCTTTTTTTAGGGATCTCTTACATACATCAAATAAATAATGGACCATTCTACTCTAAACTCTGGCCATCAGTATCCTCTGTGAGGATTCCCTTCTCAGTTCTCACTCACCTTTGTACCCCATGCTGGGATAAAAATAGTGTGCTAAGGATCAAACTTAGAAGAACTTACCATCCCCTCTTTACAACAGTAGTCACCAGTTGTACCTTCCAAAGGACAGGAAGCTTTATTGCTTTATGTATGTATAACTCTTGCTAAAATTGGGGGAGATATTTTACTTTATTTTATTTACTTATTTACTTATTGATTTATTTATTATTATTTTTTGAGACAGAGCCTCTCTCTGTCACCCAGACCTGAGTTCAGTGGCGCTATCTTGGCTCACTGCAACCTTCACCTTCTGGATTCAAGCAATTTTCCTGCCTCAGCCTCCCAAACAGCTGGGACTACAGGCACATGCTACCATATCTGGCTAATTTTTTTGTATTTTTAGTAGAGATGGAGTTTCACCATGTTAGCCGGGCCAGTCTTGAATTCCTGACCTCAGGTAATCTGCCCACCTTGGCCTCCCAAAGTGCTGGGATTACAGGCATAAGCCACTGCACCTGGACTGCTTTGTTTTAAATAAGAGCAACAACAAATAAAGTGTATCCATAAAGAATGCTTAATTTTGGCTGGGCGCGGTGGCTCAAGCCTGTAATCCCAGCACTTTGGGAGGCCGAGGCGGGTGGATCACAAGGTCAAGAGATCGAGACCATTCTGGTCAACATGGTGAAACCCCTTCTCTGCTAAAAATACAAAAAAATTAGCTGAGCATGGTGGCGTGCGCCTGTAATCCCAGCTACTCAGGAGGCTGAGGCAGGAGAATTGCCTGAACCCAGGAGGCGGAGGTTGCAGTGAGCCGAGATTGCGCTGTTGCACTCCAGCCTGGGTAACAAGAGCGAAACTCCGTCTCAAAAAAAAAAAAGAATGCTTAATTTTGTGCCCATGTTTCAGTATTTATTAATGTCCATCCTAGTATCACAAATCTTGGTGTTTATATTATATTATATTTAGTGAAGGATTTTGTTTTGTTTTGGAGTCTGGTTTTTGTTTTTATGATGTGAGTGTAGTTTCTGACCTTTTCATAGGTCAGTTTTTTTATAGGAGTGTTAAATATAAATTAGACCTTCATAGTGAGTGCATAATTGTATCAGATACTTGAATGGTTCATGTTCAGTAGATAATAGTGTTCTTTGTTTTGAGGTTCATCTACTTTATAACATATTAGCCAATTCTTAGTTTATTCTGAAGAGCATTATAGAACAACAGAACTAAAGTTCATCCTTAGAATTTTTCTTAAAGCAAAAGGTATATTGACATACCTTACACTGGTCAAGTACTATGTCATTTGCTGCAGATAATATAAAAGTTTATTTAATTTTAAGTCTTTTTTTCTTTGGTCTCAGACAGCAAATCAAAAGGCCTCCAGTGGATAATAGATACAACAATAGCTTATCCCAAAGCTGAACCTATAGATATTCAAACCTGGATCCTTGGATACAGGAAACCAACAGTCACACATGTACATTACAGGTAAGAATTCTATATTAGTACTCATAATATATTCAACAATACTATCTTAGGACAGTGGGAATGTTTTAATATTTAGTTTTTAATCTTAGTAGAAATAATTGGCTCAAGTTCATTTTTATGCTGCATTTTTAATATTAAAATACCATTTGAAGTAGCTATTTCACTCAGTGATAGAGACCTCTAAAAATTGTATTCTAAAGGCACTATGATTATTTGGTTGTCTGACACTTTTCAGTAAAAGTTAAAGGGCAAACATCAAGGATAAATATATACTCACTTGGTTAAGAAGGTATGTATTAATAGAAAAGGGGATCCAATCCAGACCCCGTGAGAAGTTCTTGGATCTTGCACAAGAAAGAATTCAGGGCAAGTCCATAAAGTGGAAGCAAAGTTTTAGGAAAGTAAAGGAATAAAAGAATGGCCACTCCATAGACAGAGCAGTCCTCAGGGGTTGCCCATTTTTATGGTTATGTCTTGATGATATACTAAATAAGGGGTGGATTATTCATGCCTTCCTTTTTAGACCATATAGGGTAACTTCCTGACATTGCCATGGCATTTGTAAACTGTGATAGCACTGGTGGGAGCATAGCAGTGAGGATGACCAAAGGTCACTCTTGGTGGCCATCTTGGTTTTGGTGGGTTTTAGTGGTTTCTTTACTGCAACCTGTATTATTAGCAAGATATTATAACCTGTATTTTGTGCTTGCCTCCTGTCTCATCCTTTGACTTAGAATGCCTTAACTGTCTGGGATGCAGCCTAGTAGGTCTCAGCCTCATTTTACCCAGCTCCTATTCAAGATAAGAGTTACTCTGTTTCACACACCTCTGACAGAAATTAAATTTGTTTTTAAATCATTAATCCACATAGATTTTCTGAATGATTAAGTTGGTAATATAGCTATGACTTACACTTTTAAATTTTTAATACTTTAATATGTCTGTCATTTGCATAAACAGTAGCAAAAACATTTATTGAAATCTGTGCTAGCTTTTTTTAAATGTTGGTTTTTTTTAAGGAGTTTATATAAATAAGATAGGTATTTATATGAAGCACAGGCTGATAAGGCCTGTTTGGTTTTTATCGCTTTATATGCCTTTTAGTCTTACTGTGTTTCCATGTGAAAGACCTCAACCCATGACGACTACCTTACAAAGATGAGGAATTGGTCCTAAGCAAGATCACAGTTGTTACAAAATCCCTCAATTCTAGAGGAAAACAACTCAAATTATATACCCATTGATAGTATATAGGTAGCATATTTTTATATGTGTAAACCTTCAGAGTTTTATTAATACAAATATAAGTACAGAGTTGGAAGAATTTGAAACTTAAATTCTGATATTTAAAATTACATAGTTATAGTTGGGGTTTTTGTTGTGTGAGGAATGACTGTACAATTACAGTTGATTCTGGTGTGTGGCTTACATTGAGTAAGGCAGGAGTGTAATTCTTCATGTCTGTTTTCTCAGTCCTTTCCACAGGTTGTCCCTTTTACTTAAGTTATTGAGGACTTATTATGTATAAGGCAATGTGCTAGGCCCTGGAAGAAATTGCTCTAGGAACAGTTTTATTTCCACATATTTGAAATATAGCAAACCTTCAGTAAGTTTTTAAATTGTAATCTATAAACGAAAGACAATGTTAATGCCCAAGCTAGGAATATGGCTCTTGGATGTATGACTGTATGTGCACTTGATATATGTGCATTGGATATATGTAGATCTTCCTAGCAAATCATACCCAAAAAAGAACAGATGAGGAAGAAAACATTCTGTTGTATAGGCAGTCTAGTATAGGTGACCCTGCTTTTCTCTTTTAGTCAATAACTAGAGGAAATTTTAGTTTATAGATAATCAGGAAAAAATGAATCATAAAGGATCATGGAAATGGAAGAAATGGCCTACTTACGCAAGATTACTTTAACAGGCTCTTAAATTCACTTGAGGTTGGGCGCGGTGGCTCACGCATATAATCCCAGCACTTCGGGAACCCGAGACGGGCAGATCACAAGGTCAGGAGTTCGAGACCAGCCTGGCCAACATAGTGAAACTCCGTCTCTACTAAAAATACAAATATTAGCCGGGTGTGGTGGCACACGCCCATAGTCCCAGCTACTTGGGAGGCTGAGGCAGGAGAATCGCTTGAACCTGGGAGGTAGAGGTTGCAGTGAGCCATGACTGTGCCATTGGACTCCATTGTGGGTGACAGAATGAGACTCTGTCTCAAAAAAAAAAAAAAAAAAAGAAAAATTCACTTGAAACAGAGGTTTTTATGCTGGGGCTCATGGATAGACCTCAGGTAATTTTTTAACTGAATATATGAAATTTTGAGAATGTTTATACTTTTCTACAGAGAAAGTTCATAGCTTTCACTCTATTCTCAAAATTATATATGACCTCAAGAAATTAAGGACCCCTGACTTAGAGATGAAAACCCCATAATAGATAGAAGATGAGGAATGATCAGTTTGATACAGAAAAATACTTCTAATAAAGAAAATTCAATGTTAGACTGGTACGGATTAAATCATATGATAATCATACTCCAAGATAGTAAAGTACAAATTATACCTGATTATTTATGAATATACACATACATACAAGCCCTAGGAGTCTTGAGACAGGTAAGGAAAATGCTTTTCTTCCCAGGAACTGATATTATTGTCTAACCAATGTCAGGGGAGAGAAAGGACCTGTATTCAGAAATGGAGAACAAATGAAAAGGGCAAGAAAGAACAGAGGTGTCTTGGTGTCAGGATGGTACTGTGGTTTTGCAAGAAGCTTGTGAGAGAGGATGTGGGCCATATCTTTAGTAGCTTCCAGGAATAGTCTCTATCAACCATAGAGTGACTTCTCACGTATTGTTCTTGGCCATCAGGACACCATGAGGCATAGTGAAAGAAAGAGTGGTTTTAATTCAGACTCTTCATTCATTGGGTTATATTTTAAAAATTTTAAACAAGGAAAAGATGTTTCCAATTAGTTTTTAAATAAAAGTTTTTAAATGCAGCATTAGAAATCACATTATATATAAAAATGTGAATAATATAAATAATTGGGGTTAGATCCCTTTCTCTTTTAATGTGAGGAGATTGGCAAGAAAAACTGGATAGTATCAACTGCTTAAAGTGGGGAATGGGTGCCCAAAACATAAGAAAAGGTTATCTGGAAACTATAAAGTTCAGTAAAAAACAGTTGTTTTGTTTAGTGTTGGCTTGCTTATCTTCACCTATAAGCAGATTTGAAAAACTGTTAATGAAGGTTTTGGTTTTTTTTTCCTGCAGTTAAGCATAATTTCTCCAGAACTCTGGAACTATTAACCCATATGGTACCAGCCAATTTTGTTCCCCGTGATGTAGAAAGGATTTGTTTTTGTCTTAGCAGACTTAAAAAGATAAATAAATAAAGCAGCCCTCTTTCTTGAGAATTTAACTGAAGTGATCACTTAGTGAGTATGGTATATAGCTGGGCAAGTCAGTACTATTGCTAGTTTTTTTGTTTGTTTTTGGTTTTGTTTTGTTTTGTTTTGTTTTGTTTTGTTTTGTTTTGGAGATGGAGAGTTTCACTCTTGTTATCCAGGCTGGAGTGCAATGGCGCGATCTCGTCTCACTGCAACCTCTGCCTCCTGGGTTCAGGCAATTCTCCTGCCTCAGCCTCCTGAGTAGCTGGGATTACAGGCACGCGCCACCATGCCCAGCTAATTTTTTGTATTTTTAGTGGAGACGGGGTTTCACCATGTTGACCAGGATGGTCTCAATCTCTTGACCTCGTGATCCACCCGCCTCGGCCTCCCGAAGTGCTGGGATTACAGGCTTGAGCCACCGCGCCCGGCTTGTTTTGTTTTATATTTTTTTGAGACACAGTTTCATTCTGTTGCCCAGGCTAGAGTGTAATAGCACAATCTCAGCTTACTGCAACCTCTACCTCCTGGGTTCAAGCAGTTCTCCTGCCTCACCCTCCCAAGTATCTCGGATTACAGGTGCCTGCCACTGTGCCTGGCTAATTTTTGTATTATTAGTAGAGATGGGGCTTCACCATGTTGGCCAGGCTGGTGTCAAACTCCTGAGCTCCAGTGATCTGCTTGCCTCAGCCTTTTAAAGTGCTTGAGCCACCGAGCCTAGCCTGTTGCTAGTTTTTTAGTGTAATCTTGAGGAATATGACATATGACAGTCAGAAAGTCATTATTCCATCCTGCTCAGCATTTATTAGATCCCACTTAAGTTATTTCGTGTATTTTAATTTCTCCGTTTTAAAAGAAATAGTTTAGTTGGTAAAATTTTATCAATAGAGCTGACAAACAAGCATCAGAAGCCTAGAGAGTTCTGTAATTTTAAAAAAAGAGCTAACATAGATAAATCCTAGAACACTAGTACCACTTAAAAGGCAGTTATTATGGATCAAATCAAAACAAATTCATAGGTAGTAGTAATTAAATGAAACACAATTCTAAGAGAAACTCCCAAGTTGAAAGTTCAGATTAAGAGAAAGTTTAATAATTCATAAATACTAAATCTATAATAAGTTTCTATATATTTGAGATACTTTTATCATATTTTAGGTAGATTTCATAGAGGGCAATAACTGTGCTCTTACATGCAGTACATCTTGGTGACTGCCGAGAGCCACAAAATGTGGCTCTGGGTGGCTGGGGTATTATATTGTTATGCAATAGCATTCCTTACCATCAGAATTCACTTGGGAAACAATATAGTTAGCATAATTTATTTAACATTAATCAGTAGTTTGTCTATTTTATATATCTATTTATTTTGAGACAATCTCACTGCAACACCGAGGCTGGAATGCAGTGGTGCAATCTCGGCTCACTGCAACCTCTGTCTCCTGGGTTCAAGCAATTCTCCTGCCTCAGTCTCCCGAGTAGCTGGGTTTACAGGCACCTGCCACCACACCTGGCTAGATTACATATTTCCATAATACATTTATTTTCACTTCTTATAAATTATAGTCCAATATGCCAAATAAATTTCACTACCTGT